CTGTTGTTGCCTAGGCTGCAGTGCAATGGCTCGATCGTGACCTCTGCCTCGCAGGTTCAAGCAATTCTCCTGCCCTCAGCCTCCTGAGTAGCTGGGATTACAGGCATGCGCCACCATACCCGGCTAATTTTGTATTTTTAGCAGAGATGGGGTTTCTCCATGTTGGTCAGGCTGGTCTCAAACTCCCAACTTCAGGTGATCTGACTGCCTCAGCCTCCCAAAGTGCTGAGATTACAGGTGTGAGCCACCATGCCGGGCCAGCAGCTCCCTTCTTGAGCTTGTCATTCTCCTCCTTGTGCTTCTTGGCTGCCTCACTAGCACTCTGCCTCACTGCTTATTAAAGGCTTCTTTGGAGTCCAGCCTGCTGTAAGATGAGAATCACCAGGTGTCTAAGCAAGAAATACAGCAGCAAGGAAAAGCCAGCAATGTAGAGATTCCTCTGGGCATGGGAAAGCTTCATGTGGAAGTGTTCCATGGCCCAGGATTGGAGGTTCACCTCCTCAGTTACATCATCATACTTCCAAATCTCACGCACAGCATCGATGACCAGCAGCACAAGGATGACAATGAGAACCACAAAGAACGTGTTGCCACAGGACACTACCAACTCCACCAGCCAGGACTTGAAAATCTTCTGCCATCTTTTGGGAGAAATGAAGGGAATGCAGAGAAGCAACACAACAAAGACCTCCGCATAGAGGAAGGTGGCCACTGCGGTCCACTGCAGACCCAGCCTGTTGCTAGAAGGTTTCCCACAGGGAGACGGGAGCTTGTCTTCGAGTTTCCCACAGTCAGCCCTAACTGTATGTTTTTACATATTAGCCAACCTCCCCTCCTTCCCAGCCTCTGGTGACTATCATTCTAGTTTTCACCTCCATAAGATCAACTCTTCCAGCCCCCACATAGGAATAAGAACATGAGGGCTGGGCGTGGTGCTCACGTCTGTAATCCCAGCACTTCGGGAGGCCAAGGCCAGAGGATTGCTTTAGCCTAGGAGTTTGAGACTAGCCTGGACCACAAAGTGAGACGCCATCTCTACAAAACAAAAAGTAGCTGGGTGTGGTGGGATGCGCCTGTAATTCCACCTACTTGTCAAGCCAAGGTGAGAGGCTCGTTTGAGCCTGGAAGGTCAAGGCTGCAGTGAGC